GCATGGAAGAGAGGACGCTAGGAAATGAACATGAAATGAAGCAGATTTAACTTCTACCAGTAACCAGCAGAGTTTGCATTAAAATCGAGGAAGATGATTGGTGTACAATGTAGAGGTTCACAGAACCCCTACAGATACCTCACATGGGCAGCATGGGTGGGTGAATATTTTGACATTATTTATTAATGTGGAGTCCACACTATGTAAGATATCCGTAAATTTTCTGTAAGAATTTTTCTGTACACCAAACATTACTCAATTAACAATGATATACTACTTCACCTTTGTCTGATAAAATTTTATCAATTTTTCAACTTATTAAATTTCAATTTTGAATTTTATGAGATTCACAACTTTTATTAACTTTTAAACCACGCATTTTATCAAAATATTTGTCACACGTGAACATCCCGTTAGTCTCTTTTGTATTTCAATTAGTAACGAACAAGTACTTGAAACATACATAGAACAAAAATATATTGTATTATTTGTTTAGTTTGAAATAGCCTCATTTGATGATATATACATATATATATATATATATATATATATATATATATATACACACACACATTATTTTTTATTTTTTATTATGACGGGGGAACCCATAGCCGTAGTCCCTTCGGGTGCGTACTGAGTAAATTCTCGAACTGACGTAATAGCCTGTAAATCACCCCTACCAGGTAAATCGCACTAGGCAAGCCCTGTGCGACAAGCTCGACCGAGAAATTGTTGGTAGGGGAAATCGAACTCGTGACCAAAGGTCTCTGTGTTTACTTACTCCATCAACTCGACCACCCCATGTGGGGCCTCATTTGGTGATATTGCTACGCTGCTTATAAATGAATTGACATTATATGGGATATCTTATCATGCTCGTTGATCTTAAGGCTTGATTATGCTAATATTGACGGTGGTAGCTCAATCGAACACGCGTTCGTTGGAGCTAAACTATTAAGAACGCATATTGAGTCCAATTTAGGTATTTTACCAATGCAAAGGTGATGTAGATAGTTTAAGAATAATTATATTCATAGATAGTTTACTTTTGTCACACTTATCTTTTCAACTTATTTTTATTGTATTCTTATCATCAACTTTACATTAATTAGCATATACTATCACTTCATTTATGTCCAATAATTATGGTAGAGTGCTCTAAAATAATAAAATTATTTATTCACACTTTTGTATTCACTTAAAAATATAAGAGTAAATATACGCACTATAACATAACTTTTCAATGGCAATAATCATCAATAAAAAGTTTTATTAATTAATGAAAGGTTAAGGATAAGTATGCGATAAAAAAAGTCAACGATATTATACCAAGTAAATAACTTGTTTGATAAGACTCTTTAGTGCTTGCTTTATCCAAGTCTATATTAATCCCACAATTGAAAAATGTATCCCCATCTTCTACTTAATGATTGAAGATAATCACTCAAAAAATATTTGCAAATATCTAACAGAGTGAAACTTAATGATTAAAATTAAAATATTTTGAAATATATTCTCTGTTAAAGAAAATAACAAAGATTAAAGTACTAACTTTAAAAATTTTGTCCCTAGTTAAGTGACAATTAAAAAAAAATTAAATTGCTAAAGAATTTCAGTTATTAATATTTAAAAAGAAAATATATTTCATAAACCAAAAAACTGTCAATAAATAAAGTAATTTAAATATATAAACTTAAATATTAGAGTTGAAAAAAAAAATAAAAAAATGAAAGAAGGAGAGTAGTATTAGTAGTAAAAGCCAATTTGTCAACTTGTAATATCCAGTCAAATTAAACTATTGCTGGTGCACGGCCAACTGGCCAAGCCCTAAATCTTGGATAAGTAGGAAACATACGATTTTCCATTTTGCCATCATAATTTTTTCAATTTTTTTGGGTCAATAATACACGTTGTCCATTTACTTAAGTTACATTGAATTTATTTTAAAAATATTATTAAAGAAATAATGAATGGTCATTATTTTAAATTATTTGTATCAAATATTAATTCAGTAATTATGTACGAGCATTTAAAAATTTCTTTTTTCAATGTAGATGTCTAGTATTTTTTTTTCTCCCGACACCTTCATGATCTCTGTATATAAGAGCTTAAAATATAAGAATCGTGGTTGTATGTATTTTTTGTTCAATAAGGTTGCGATTCTATGTAATGATTAACGTTCTGTAATTTATGACTTTCTATAATTGTTCATGGAAATATTTGTTCTTCCACGGTTGAATATTCTCTATCCTCTCTTCCTAACCGTTTGTTTAATTTCAGGTAGGAGACAATTTGTTGAAAATAGTTTATTTGAGTTTTAATTACTAATGATTTCAATATTTTGAGGTTTGAGTCAAAAGTTTTGTATGATTCCTTTATGGAATTATAAACTGAATAACATAATTTTGGTTGATATTTTCCAAATAAAAAATATAAAATGCATAAATTTCAAATTATAAACTAATTAAATAAAATAATAAAATTCAGAACATTTTAATAATATTTTGTTCCAACAGTAACATGGAAATTGGACCGACCCAACGGCCGAATATGTCATTTACTATAGTAAAGTCAACGGCTTTTGTTCAATTTCTTAACATATTGAATTAATAGCCTCGTTCCATGAATCAAGACGGTAGTATAAAACTTCAATGCACTATGCACATGCTATGTCGACCGACCACTTGCAGAAATGTCCATAATTATGCCACAAGCATTGGCAGGGGTACTTCGAACTAATAAATTTCAATAATTTTAAATAAAGTTAAGCGCGATAATTCGTTGAGATCCATAAATTTATTGATCATAAATTCGAATTGATTGATCCGGTAACTACTCCCTCTCCCATTTATATAAATTTGTTTTGTTTATCATACGAATAAAGAAATCTTATCCCAGTTTGAGTCACATTATTATAAAAATGAGAATGAAAAATGAGAAGTGCTACATGTACATAATTGTCTACATAATAGTATCCATAATTACACGTGACACTGGATCCAACCTTTAATTCAAATCTCACACTTGAACATCAATAATCAGATGATTGCCACATCACATTATGAACATCATTATGTGCAATAATTATGTACAAGTAAAATTTTTCATGAAAAATATAGTCATTATGAACCCCACACAAGAGATAAAAAATCAAATATGGTGGCTTGATATGATGAATAATTGTCATATTTTTCATTTTAATGAGGAAATAATGGGGCTCAAACAAAAGGCCATTGAAGAAGTTATTTTTGCCAAGAAATTTCTTAATTTACCTCTTTTTAATTTTCAACAATTAGTAGTAAATTATCGTTGAAATTAGTAAAGAATTTGAAAATTGATTTCAAGGTAGGCAAATTATTGGCATATGTGCATGTATTTGTATGATTTCAAGAAATACGCAAATTAAATGGAAAAAATTGATTGTAACTAGAAAAATTAAATAAAGGTATATACGAAAAGAAACAAAAAAAAAAATATATATTCTAAATTAAGAAACAGAACTATATATTTGAGACAAGAAAAAAAGGAAATTAAGCCTATATAAATGGGATGGAAGGACTATTAAATTTGAAACGTCTAAAAAACATATGTTAATTTACGTTACTTGGTAGATATTAAATGATCATACGAAAATTCTTTTTTTTTATTATTATTATTTGGCACAATACCGACATTATAAAACATTTTCTTTCCAAAACTAAAGTTTTAATGCACAGCATATAGAGGTGGGTGTTGTCAGATTCTCATAAGAATCGAACAAGACCAAGTACCCATGAAAATCATATATACGGAACATGTTAAATGAGAGGTTGAAAAAGACTAGAGTTGGCTGGTCAATTAATCGTTTCTAAAATTCAAAATTAGTTCTTTTAGTTGTGACTAAACTAGACAAACAAAATGGATGCCAAGACGCTAGGAAAGACAACGTAGCCAAGACAATGTTCGTCTCATAAGCCCTGAAGCTTTCACAAGCAAGAAGGCATATTTTCTTGACCATCATCTAAGCTCCATTGGAAGATAGGAGGACGGATGGCATTTTATTTGGTAGAATCAACCAATTGATACGTTCGAGTGGTTTTGAAAAAGAGTATCGTTATTTGTAAACATTGCTCATAAACAATATTCTATGTGACAGTGAGATAACTGTAACATTTTTCTAAAATAAAGAAAATGTTGTAATGATCTAACCGTCACATTAGATGTTGATCATGAGCACTTCTCATAGATAGCATTATTCAAAATGCCAAATTGCCAAACCATAACTACAATTCTTGAAGCAATGCTTCTCTTTATTTAAATGCATCCTTTTATTTCGATAAATTCCGGTACATGGCAAGACTTTTTATGTACTCTTTAGGTATTTTTCTGATTTTTTATGAAAGCCATCTTCTTTTTATTTAATGGACAAGCAGAGGTTCATTTTAAAACTCTAAAACTCAAGAGCATGTTTCTCAAACACAAAGATAAGTCAAAATGTCAAATTTATTTTTAAAGGGAAATGCTAAGCAAACGGGGGGCTGACAGCCTCCTTGACCGAAACTCGACAAATAATGCGGGTTCCGCCCGAAAAAATGAAACCCCTCCACCTACTGTGGGGTTTCAGTAACGGGGCTGTTTCCTTAGCATTTTCTATTTATAAATACGTTCGAGTACATTAGCATCTATCATTTATAATGAAGTAAAACTGCTTATTTACCTATCATTGCCGTAGTTACTTAAAATAAGTTAGTATTATTTCAAATGAGTAAATTATTTTATTATTGACTTATTTACTTGAGTAGATTATTAAGCTTAGCCAGAGATGCTTTTTATCTTTAATAAAAATGTTTATCTGTATCCTATGATTGAGTGACTCACATAATAGATTCCTAGATATGGTTGAGTCAGCAATAAGAATTTTATCCATATCCTTCCCCTACAGTTCACCTCACAGCAATCAACGGAGTACGGCCAATCGTAAACCCCACATTCCTCCTCTCTATAAATAATCCATTCGATTCAACAATTTCATCTCAGAAACTATTCGTTGAATCACAACCACATACACTGATCTTATCATGGCTTCTACATCATTTTCTCTATCAAATCAAACAATTCACTCAACCATTCAGCCGCCGTGCAACGCCACCTTCCGCCGCCCTCTTCGTATATCCGCCACTTGCGCCACCTCTGAGAGGACCAGTAGTACGAAGATCAGCACTGGATACGCTCCAAAACAGGGGTCTCTATACGAAGTCCTGGGGATTCAAACCGGTGCTTCTTGTCAAGAAATTAAAACTGCGTATAGAAAATTAGCCAGAAGTTTGCATCCGGATGTTGCGTCGAACAGTGGAGATGAATTTATGAGAGTGCATACGGCTTATGCGACTCTTTCTGATCCGGAGAAGCGTGCGAACTACGATACGGAACTTTTTCATCGGAGGAGGCCGACTGCGCTGTCGGCGAGGGGTTATTCTTGCCGGAGCCGGAATTGGGAAACTGACCAGTGCTGGTAAATCAATTTGCGAAATGATTAGCTCAAAATGTAGACAGAAGCTGGAACTAGTTTACAGAGTACAGTCTACTGTCTACAGTTACTTCCATGTAAATACAATCTTATTTGTAGGATGATAATATTTGTTAACATCATCACATCCATACATTTTGTAAATTGTTAAAAAATGTTTTTTAATTCATTGGTCCAGATTTCATCACCTTCAACATTATCAACAATGTTTGTTAACTAATATCGTACAGATAGCTTATTTCATGTAAATATTTGAAGATTTGAGAAATAGTACCCAGCGTAGACAAATTTTGTTTCTCTTATAAGGCAGCTAGCGAAGTTTTTTTATACATATTTTATAATAGACACATGTACGAGTACTAAATTTATAAAGTATATTTGTAAAAAAGCGTATGGGTTAGATAAATAATCGAACGATGAAAAAAAATCCCATTCAATAAGTAGTACAAAGGATTCCTTATTATTATTATCATTAAATCATGAAGAATTAAGGGCCTGTATGATACCAATCAATTCCATGGAACCATCCAAATGTCTTGTTTGACGGGTAAAATTTTCCATGAAATTGGTTTTCCACCCTACGCCCATGTGACCATTTTTCTTGATTTTTAAGGAATTTGTTTTCCTTTGATTTTGGTGGAAAAGTGTTTCCCAACTTTCTTTTTCTTTATTTTTTTTTTAATTTTCGGCAATGGAACAAATTCTATCCACAATGTAACAAATTATATCATTTTAATTAACAATTTTCGTGGAAAAAAAAGTCAAACGAATACCAAAAGATATAAAATTTCAACATTTTTCAGGTGAAAAATTATACAAATCAAATACATTTAGATGACAATTCTTAATAAAACAAGTTTTAGGCAATTCAATTTCCTGAAATTCGTTTTCTTTCCACCAAAATTTCATTTTTGCTATTAAACGAATCCTGATTGAAAAAAAAAAAACGTTGGGGATCTACGTAAGATCAATTTCAATCAGTAATATATGTATGTCAAAAAGTCAAAATTTATATGTTGTGTATTTCAAGCAATATGTGATTAGAAACAGGAACGAAAAATTGATACAAATGGGCTTTAACATTCAAATCTAGCCGCAAACATCTATTAACCTTCCATTTATGAGCAAAATTGGCCATTTTTTCAAATGGTTTATATCCAACTGACAGTCAAAAATTCAAAATAAAAATACTAAAATGTCATTACTTTAATTTAAATAAATAAAATAAATAGGCAATAAAAATAAATATGATAAAAAGAAGATACTACCCATCCTACGATTCTATTTTTCATAAGAGCATCTTCAATACAAACCATATATTATTTTAAGAATTATCTCATATAAGCAAAATAGAATATTAAAAAAAAAAAATCCTCTTAAGACATGACAAAATCTACATGGCATTGATGTGGTAGGGAAAAAATAGATATCAAAATACTTTCAATCTACATGACATTTGATTTAATAATTCAATGCTCAAATTCACAATTTGTTTTCAATGCATTCTATAAATTACTATCTGGATCTCTTTTATTTTTATTTTTTTAAAGAAAATCATATTTAAATCTACATATAAAATATAAATTTTGCCGAGTTAGTATGTTTAATGGAGCTTTGAATTTAGACGGGAGTCTAAAAAAATATAAATTCCTTTGCAAGATCATCTTGACAGAGCTCTTATCATCATGCATCAAATTTTGAAGGTTAGGGACCATTAATGTAGCAAGCTCATAGATGAGGAATAATTTGCTCCAAATTTCCCAATAGGATTTGACCAAATTTATAAGGGTAAATTGCACTTAGATCCCGAACATTTGATTTTTAGCAATCAGAATTTCAATTTTCTGTTAGGGTTATTATTTTGGCGTAAACCATGAGAACGGCACTCAAATTTTAAATGAAGTGACAATTTATTTATTTAAAGGTCACTTTTTACTTTTCTTTTATTTATATGTTTTAAAATAAACCACAATTAAAAATGTGTTCTAAAAAGTATAAAGTGTAGCGAGTCGTGGATGCCAAGATTCGGTCTAGGCATAAAAAAGCGTAAAAAATCGTTTTAATATTATTTTAAATTTTTTTATCAAAATAAAAATTATTTAACCCTTGTTTGAGCCCCATTTTGAGGAAAATAATATATTTTGAAATAGTATTTTTTGGAGAATCTGTGGTAAAAAAAAAGAATAAGAAAAAGTTTTTGATTTACATCTAAAATTATTTTATTGAAAAATATATACTTAAAAATGAGTTTTGAAAAAATAAATTTTTGATAGAATGAGATTCAAACATGGTCTTAATGATTAAAGAAAAAAGCATAAAAAGAAGGGAACGGTATATAAATCTTACATAAGAAACACATTTCAAAACTAATAAACTCCATAAAACTTTTCAAAAATCAGATGATAAACTAATTTATTAAATTTTTAATTATAATATAATATAATTAATCATGTCAAACTTCAAATCCAAGCCCTTTTCTTCCTCTCTCTACTCTCTATCATCTCTCAACCCCTTCTCCCCATTAGAGGCGGCCATCGGATCCGACGATAGAAAAATCTCCAAAAATTGAAAACAATTTCCCTCTATATACTCTAATATAGAAAAATTTTCAAAAATTTATCTGTGACCAGATTTGTTGTTTGTGATTATATATGTGTTTTATGTCACTATTTGTGATCAAATTTGTTTTTGCCGTGACTGAATGTGACAACCTAATTTGTAATTGCATGTAACTAGTCACTGACCTTTGTTATCAGTGATTAATTGTAATCAAATTTATCTTTGATGTGATTAACTATGATCAAATTTGTATTCAGTGTGACTATCTGTGATCAGGTCAAGCTTAACTATAACTAAGTCACAATCGACCACAATCAACCAAAAATTGGCCACAAACAGTCAAAACCAATATTTTGAAGAAAAGACTGGACCGGCCCGTTCAACAAAAAAAAAATGGCGAACCGGCCTCAAATTCGGTTTGGTACTGATAAATTGACTGAAAATGAAAAAATCGGTAAATAACTGGTCGAACCGGCTATTTTAGCCGGAAATCGGAAAACCGATTACAGTTTTTACCAATTTTTTTCAAAAAAAATTATAATTACTTTGATAAATAAGCTCAAGCATTGGTAAGCTAATTTTATCTTTCTTCCAATAGAAGTGTTGTTTTTAAAAGAGAATAGACATGCAATGTTTTCCTCAACTTTCAATGTGGGATAAGTTGTAAAATCCTTTGCAATTTATATATTTAATAATTGTTCACTTTTTTTTTCTATTAAACAAATTTTGGTCCCTAAAAGCACAAATAATTTCAATTTTAACAAACCAAATTATTTTAGACACAACAATTGTTAGTTTTTGATGTTTTAAAATAAATTATAGAATAATAAACCATTAAATTTAATCCCCCCCCCCCCCCAAAAGCACAAATAATTTCAATTTTAACAAAGCAAATTATTTTAGACACAATAATTGTTAGTTTTTGATGTTTTAAAATAAATTATAGGATAATAAACCATTAAATTTAATTGAAAAATATGGATTTATATTTATTTTGAATTAGTAATACTATAATTTAAAAATTTGTTATTGTTATAATATTTTAGAGTTTGTTGGAGTATTTATTTATTTAATTTTGATATCCGGTTTGACCCTAGGTGGACCCTGATTCGACCGTTTGACCCTTGGCCCTTTTTCTTTTTCGGGTCGATGTTTAGGTTGATTTTTAATACATTGGTCAAAACAAACACATACTTGGTCACATGGGATCACCACAAACAAATCTACACACACCTCAGTCCACACAATCCACCACCATCATCTCCAATGCACCATTGCTACCACCTTGAACTCAAATTCATGACCATAAATACTACCTTCACTCGTCTGTGTTATCAGTGACTAACCATGACCAACTATTTATTTTGTGCGACTGCTCATGGCCATGTTAGTCTAATTTGTAATTGTATGTACAGTTAAACACAGATCTTATCACAGAGAGTCACAATGAAGATAAACTTGATTACACCAAGTTTCCGACACCACCACCATTCCAAACATTGTCAAGAACCAAAAGCACAGCACCTCAACATGATTTTGTACACCACCTGCAACAGAACCTTCGCCTCCTACACCATCACCAACAGAGCCACCAACAATAATAGATCAAGAAATTATTGACGCCATTCGTAGAACACCAGCAACCATCCTTAACCATTTTCAAAGAGGAAAAAAGAAAATCAGTATCCACCTTCACAAACCATGGTTGCGATGGGTAATCTCAGATTACAAAACCACGGCAAGCAACAACGACGAAGCAAGGCGTAGTAGCAACGACGCCTTGCTGCTCGTTCTTCTCCGCTGTGCACAATGGTGTCGAAAAGATGTGGTAGAGAGTCGGTAGGTAGAGAGGATGATAGAGAGAATGAATATGGAGAAAATTGATCACCAAAAAATCACCACAACTACTAAAAAGATTGAATCACAAAAAAATCATCGACCATAAAAAAAATCACAGTAACCACGAACAACCACCTACCACATCGCAAATGACCTACATCATCCCCAAAAGATCACATCAGATCAGAAACAAATCGCGAAGACACCATCGCAAATACACAGCGATGCCTAGCACGAGACGTTTGTACTGTGCTTAGCCACTAGAAGAGAATGAGCAATGGCGCCTGAATGAGCCACCGAAAGAGAAGAAAAGGAGCCGTAAGAAAAGAGTGAGAAAGAGGATAGAGAGAGAATGGGTAATGGAAGAGAGAGAGAGAGATGACGGAAAAAAATGATTTGAGGGTTTTGTGGTGTGGTAAGCTGGGGTTAAGGGATGGGGTAGGTATGTAAATTAATTTAATTTTATAATTTTAATTAACCTTATTTACCACCTAATTTTTGAATTTAAAACTAATCTTCCTTATTTATGAAAATTGATTGTTAAGTGTAGGTTTATAAGTAATTTTTCCTAAAAAGGATGCAACCATGAAAAATGCTCAAGACCAGACCTTTTGCTTTGATTTCGTATCTTGACGCCATTTTCAATCACTAAAAATTGATCATTTTATTTGAAAAGTGACCTTTACAGGATTTTTTAGGAATCCCATTCGAGAGTTAATTGTTCCAATAGTATTTAACTTAAGTCAATGTCTTTGATTGATTACTAAAATTTAAAATGTCGAGTCTTGGTCACTGAACTTAGATCCATGTCTTCGATTGCTCACTGAAATTTAAAATGTCGAGTTTTGATCATTGAATTTAGGTCCATGTCTTCGATTGCTCACTAAAATTTAAAATGTCTAGTTTTGACCACTAAATTTTGAAAAATATTGTATATTACTCGTTGAACTTTGAAAAATATTGTATATTATTCATTGAACTTTTAAAAATACTGTACATTATTCACTGTAAACTCGATATTTTTCAAAATTCAACAGTTATGTTAGTGAGTAACGTACAACATATTTCAAAGTTCAGTGATCAAAATTTGACATTTTAAATTTCAATGAGCAATCTAAGACGTGGACTTAAGTTCAATGAGCAATCAAAGACATTGATCTAAGTTCGATGATCAAAATTCAATATTTTAAACTTCAATAAACAATCAAAGTCATGGACCTAAGTTCAATGACAATTGAAACAATTAACTCCCCATCCAATAATCATCAAAGTCTTATGAAACCTACAGCTTAGGCCTCTATTGTTTTTCCTTTTCTTATTTAAAGGGAATATGGTTGCTGATTGGGCGGTACTGCCAATAGTTTCCTAATGGGTGCATGTGGCCGTGCTGTAAGAAGTGTTCCATGCTCTCATGCTAGTATATGTGATACTATTTACCCTTTTAATCAATGTTTCCGGACGTGGTTTTACGGAAGAAGATAACTTGTTTGATTGTTTGTTGCTAAGACTCAGCCATGATGTTCGAGAAGGAATGCCAAGGCGATTTAATTATATAGGTATGATAAATATTATTTATTACACTTTGGGAAACCTCACAATGCAGGTTTTGTTCGACAATGGGGGAAGCTGATGCAACAAGATGGGAAAAATAGATCCTGTCATCAGAAGTTAAACGAAAAGGACAGAAATCTGTGTCGATATTTATTCATGTTGGTGAGCAAAGCTTTTAGATGACCATAACTTCTAGTAATGTAAGTTGTATTCCGAAACCAGAACCGCCAAAATTCCCTAGAAATTGGAAAAAAATATATATCTTACCTAGGGATGTCAACGAGCTGAGTCGAGCCGGCTTGAGGGCCGAAATTCGAGGCTCGAGCTCGGCTTGGGTAAAATGACCAAGCTTTTTTTTAGGCTTGAGCTTTTGCTCGGCAAAAAAAATTAAATGAATAAAAAAGGCAGCAACCTATTGCCTTTTTTGGTAGCAGCGCACTGCCTTTTTAAGGCAGCATGTTGTGGCCTTTTAATTTTATTTTTTTTAAATAGAGGCTCGTGAGTCCGAGCTGGTGAGTCACATGAGCTGGCTCTCTCGAGCCTGCTCGAGCTTTGGCAGGCACCCAAAAATGAGGCTCAACCCAAGCTTTTTCCGAACCGAGCCAACAAGCACCATTGCCATTCCTAGTCTTACCCATACGTAGAAGACAAAGAAATTGAAAGGAAATTTCATCCACACATTGATATCTACTGATTATTGATGAGTTGTATATCAAGACAATGGACAATTCATTTGGCATCGAAGTCTCTTCCGTGACTGCACGTTATGTCATGTTGGGGAATTCATAATCCAAATTATCTCAACTGCTGTACAGTGCAGAGAGATTTTATTTAGTTTGATGAACCAGAACTTCCTCATGGTAATATTAGTTATTTGTTCGAACTGATATGGTGTTCTAATATTTACATACACATAAGGAAATAAAAGTCATGGTAGGAAGACTACTAAGAGAAATGGAGTCTGAATGGTTTAATTCAGGCCATAAAAAGATAGATATACAACTAAGTTAGGTAAGTAAAAAGAGAGAAGAAATTGAAGATGAAGAAGTGGTGATGCAAAATGCAAATGATATTTGCTCTTTGTTTGTCTTTTTATAGAGGTGGATGATAAAAAGCAGTGCATGAATTGGATACCTAAACTTCATATATTTTCTTCTCAATCTTCCTGGTGTCTTGACAAAAGCACAAATCTTTCAGTTTCAGGAAACAATTATTTTCATGCTAGTCTCTGTTGGAAAAAATTCAACGTATGTGGCCACACATGTTTACATATTAAAATGTGTGGTGCCATTTTAAAGTTTAGTTGATAAAGTGATCTATTAAGTTTATTTTTTGGACTAAAGGTCTATTAAATGTTATGGGAATAAAGTATTGAGATCGGAGAATGTTATTTTAAATTGATGAGGAGACGATTTGAAATAACACAAAATTAATAACTGCCAACTTAAAGTTATTTCTTATGGGGTTATGGTCTCCAATTGAACGTGAATTCACAGTTCTTTGCATCTTCATCAACAGAGAAGAAGATTTCAAGAAATCACGTAACAGTTGGAAGATCTTAACCCGTTCGGAATACTAACAACTATGGATCAAGATACGCTTCGGCCTTTTGAATCTTCTCTTTGATTTCAACATGGAGAATCTATGTATTTTGTGAAAGGATTTATAAAACTTTGGCTCCTTTCAATATCCCAGAGTCTCATCCTTGCATGGCATTTTCAGAAGCTGAAAAGAGAGAATAAGAGGGAGAGAATAGATAGAATTTGGGATAGAATATCAATTTATTTCACTATCAAAATTGTTTGAATTACATCGCATAAGGCCCTTTATACAGGGTTTCAAGAATCCTATTCCAAGTAGAAAATATATAATAAAAGCTATTAAATCAAACCCTTAATTATGTTTCCTAAAATAAATGTCAAAATTGGAAGGTAAATAAATAATTTTCTCTTATGATAATCCATTAATGACTTTGCATGGTTATAAATAAAATAAGTTATTCAGTTTATTGCGTCCTTGTAATATAATCCTTTAATTGTAATTTCAGGAGTCGAAATACTACCTTGCTGTAGCAATCAGATGGTTAGATGGCCTACTCAATAGAGACATTGGCATCACCGAAATCTAGTAAAACAATGGTATCATCTGATTGCTTTTGTTGCTTTTGAATGCTCATGGAAGAATAAACACATAAATAACATTCTGCATTTGTCATGCTGAGCCAAATCTGTTGCATAGTGAGATCTGTTGACATGACAATTCTACAACTTGAGTAGTGATATAAGTACAGGAAGTCATTACAGGAGCACTATAGATTTTCAAATTTTGATGACGTGGCACACTTAAAAAAAAACACAAAAACAAGAAAACAAAAATGCGGGAGGGCGCAGCATTTCAGCCCACTCTTCTCCCAAAATTGGCATCGACTCCCGCCACTAACGACTCCCCCGTGTCGTCCTACCAAAATTCCGGGTGAAGTGACTGACGCATCTCCGAGCATTTTCCGACGCCATTCTCATCAAGAACTCCAAAATCTTCAGTCACCCAAAATGGCAGACAAAGGTATTGTTTCATCTTCTTTGTTGGGTTGTCAATGTGTCCAAAATCTGCAGTCACCAAACCCTCTTTCCCTTTACCCAGAAAATAATCCCTTTTTATTACTCTTTTCATTCTTGCATCTTCGTTGATTTCGAGTTTTTCTCCAGCATAAAATATAAATGTTGCTTACATAAATTCTTCCCGTTTGTGCATTTCCTTGTTTTGGTTGCTTTTATGCTTTATTGGATGGGTAAGCAATTAAGTGGGCAGCAATGGAGGAAGATTTTTCCCTGGTTTATGTTGAGTTTTAATTAACTACAGGGGCAGCAATTAAGGGTTGCGTCATTTGAAGGAGTTTTCCCTGCTTTATGTTGTATCAAACATGGCTAAATAAGAAATACTAGGGAAAAAATTGAAAGATAAGAAGATACCAAAGGTAACTTACCAAGCGTAATCTGCCATAGTCGAAACCATCTTGAAGTCTTTAACAGTAATAATTTTTGAGGCGTGGAGAAAGGACTCGAGAACTAATAATTTCACTCCTTGAGTAAATGAAAGTTGTATCCTTGTTGAGTGCGGTCATCTTCAGTCTACTGTTCGATTCCCTAAAGGCTAAGCGAGTAAAAAACTAAAAACTGGAGTGTCTATAAGATTAGAAAAGAATAACTTATGGAATAGAAAGTATGAGAAAAGACATTTCCAGTTCTTGTAAAATAAGAGCAATTAAAAAAAATAATCTAAAAGTGAGTTCTAAATTTTAGAAATTTTAACATTCTGCTAAATTAAAATTCGTGCTGAATTTTTATTATTATTTCCCTGCTAATTCACATTCCCATAAATTTTCATGGTTAAAGATCATGAAGATCACACTAAATTAACCTCTTCAATGGTTTAATCATATAGAGAAACCACCTGGGTTTTCAAATTTTTTTTGGTTCACAGTCTAATTTGAAAAATGATGTGTCTCAAATATTGGGATTCAAATTAAATTGAGTAGAGTGGGCTTTGATTTGATATTCATTTGGCTGTACATGATATTGCAATTTTGATTATCTCTGTACATATATATTTTTGATTATCTCTGTACATATAAATCTCTCATTTTTTTTACTCTATTCAGGAAAAGAAATTATGGAAGATGAGAATCATGATGTGTTGGCTGACTATGACAGCGAGAATATCCAGCATAATTTGAACATATTGGACAATGAAAATGTAGCAGGAGATGTTGCCTCTGAGCCTGAGGTAGGCATGATGTTTAATGATGAGAATGAAATGTTGGCGTTCTACAAAAGATATGCTTACGCTGTAGGCTTTCTAGTTCGAAAAAGGAATTCGAAAAAAGGTGATGATGGAGTTATGAGATACGTGACTTTCACATGTAGTCGCAAAGGGCGAAGGAATTATGCTACAGGCGGTTCATTGAAGCCGCTACCAACAATTCAGACTGATTGCAAAGCAAGAATATCTATGTCCTTAGATAATCTTGGAGTTTGGAGAATTAACAAAGTGTACCTTGATCATAATCATAAGACAAGTCCTTCAAAGTCTAGATTGTACCGATGCAGCCGAATTTTGAGTGCGAGTGTGAAGCGAAAACTCCAAGTGAATGATATGGCAGGAATTCCCTTACACAAGAGCTACAACTCCGCAGTTGGGGAAGCAGGTGGGTATGAGAATACGACTTTTCTGGAGAGAGATTGTCGGAACTATGTTGACCAAGAGAGACGATTACGCCTTGGAGAAGGAGATGCCATTGCATTACAGGCGTACTTTTCAAAGATGCAGGCAAGGTGGTCAGGATTTTTTTTTAGTATGGATTTAGATGGTGAGTCACGACTAAAGAATGTTTCCTGGGCAGATAACAAATGCAGGCAAGCTTACAAAGAATTTGGTGATGTGGTCACTTTCGATACCACGTATATAACAAATAAGTATGCCATACCCTTCGCCCCTTTTGTTGGGGTGAATCATCATGGACAAAGTACACTACTCGGTTGTGGGTTGTTATCAAATGAAGAAACAGGGACTTTTGTGTGGTTATTCAGGACGTGGCTTGAGTGCATGCATGGTGAAGCACCCAGAGGGATCATTACTGATCAAGATCGGGCAATGCAAAATGCCATTGAAATAGTTTTTCTGAAAACGAAGCACAGATGGTGTCTTTGGCACATTATGAAGAAATTGCCAGAAAAGTTTGGCTACCACAGTTAGAAGAGCTCAATTTTTGCTGCTATACATGGGTTGGTGTATGACTCAAATATTGTTGACGAATTCGAAGAAGGTTGGAGATCGATGCTTGATACATATGACTTACATGATAATGATTGGTTATCGAGATTGTATGAGAATAGGAATCGATGGGTTCCATGTTATTTGAAGACTACATTCTTGGCAGGGATGTCAACAACCCAACGATCTGAGAGTATGAATACATTTTTTGATGGGTACGTGCATTTAAAGACTTCGTTGAAGCAGTTCGTGGAACAATATGAAAGAGCACTGAGAAGTAAAGTTGAGAAAGAGTTCCAGGTCGATTTCAGGTCATTTTCCCAAATGGTGCCCTGTGCAACGACATTTGAAATGGAAAAACAATTTCAAACAGTATACACCATTTCGAAGTTCAAGGAAGTTCAACAAGAGTTCATTGGGAAAGTATATTGTGACATCGTATCTGAAAATACCAATGATCATTTTTGGACGACCTACGATGTGCGGTAACATGTTGTATATCAGGAGCATAGGAAGAAGAAAACTTTTCACGTGTCACTTCGGAGGGAGTCATGCGAGTTGATTTGTAGTTGTCATCTATTTGAGTTTCGAGGAATCATTTGCAAGCATGTGATCGCAATATTGATTCGTAATGACATTATGACGATGCCAGATAGGTATATACTCAGGAGGTGGAGAAGAGATGTCAGTAGAGCACACACAAGGGTTGCAGTAAATTACGATGGATTGGTGAGTACCCCCGAACAGTTGAGGTATGGCTTTTTCAGAGGTTGCAGACCTTGCAGCAAATGATGACAGTTGGACCCGTAGTATAATGGATTGGATAAAATCTCAAGCATCAGCTTTGCGGATGTCGATATCGAGTATCCGAAACGCTGGCTGTTTGCAAAATATGACAAACATGGGCTCGACTTGTAACGATTTACTGAATACTAGCACCACCAGCATATTAGACCCTATATCATCAAGCAGAAAGGGTGCGCCTACGAAACGTCGGCGGAAGGGTCCATTGGAAAAGGTAATTTTCGAAATTATTTTTATGGAAATTTGCGTGCACAAAATGATTATTTTTATTGCTAAACATCCAGGTCACTTCATTGTCAAACAAGGGGAAAAAATCGAGAGCTAGGCCTTGTTGTACACAAGAGGCAACACCAACTGTCCAGGCATCTCAACCTTCTCAGAGTTCTAGGCCGTCACCCTTATCATCGTCACAAAACCTATTGGTGAGTAAATTGTTTTAGGTCCGCTACACGGTCAAAGTTGCTTAAAATTGTGTTTTTCCATGTAGGCCTACAATGCTAGTCAGACGTTGCCACCAACAAATGTCATAATCAATGCTCAAGGTAATATATTGCTCGGGTTTCATACGTATTTATGTCTGATAATTTCGTATATTGCGACATTGTAACTATTTATCTTTTCACTTAGGTGATGTCATGCCAAACTACTCTCAACATTTGCCCAGTGAAGGTTCCACAGGCTTCTTTTGACTGGTGGCCGTGGAGGGGAGAAAAAGATTATTGCAACTTTTTGATCGAACGGAATTTTGGTCTCGAGTTTTGATCGAATGAAGAAAAATATTGGCACTAGAATTAATTCATTTTGGTGATCTATAGCTTGGTTTATGTTAAAAGTCACACTACTTTATAGAATTTTGATGTTGCAAGTTTTTGACAGTTCATAAGCCTATTGATAGTTCTTCCAATTACGCTTTGTTTATGTTAAAAGTCACACTAAATTCATTTATTGCTTGTCGGATTCAATGTTCTTTATCTGTTGTGTTGTGTCTTTTACTAGACTTTTGCAATGCTTTTATGCTTCAAGTTTTTTTTGAATTTATGCATTTGTAGGCTTCTAATGGCACAGATTATTTAACACAAATTGTGTTGTTGAACAACTGGTCACTGCCATTTTTTGCATTCTTGCTACCCTAAATTTTTATTTATCTATCACATAATCCAGGCAAGGTCACTGCCATCTTTTTGGACAAATATTGATCCCAGGATTGCTTACTTCAGTGGCTAAATGACAGTAATGCCCACCAATGCGAGGTCTGTTTATTGATGTCCACTTAGTTTTTTTTGGTGTTGTTAGACATCGGTTGTGAATTGGGATAATTTTGTGAAAACTTCTTGTGTGGTTCACCTGTGGCTAACTTAATTTATGGTGTTTTTTGATTAGTTGAAATCCTTTAAAGCCGTTCACTGAATTTTGTGTTGTTAGACACCAGAAAACTTGTTTTTTGATTAATTTTTTGGTGTTGTTAGACATCAGAGTGTTTTTTATATTTCTTTCATATAAGTCATGAATTTTGTGTTAGTGCTTTGTGGAAAGCTTATAGCATTACTCTAAAGGTACGGATTTTTATGGAATTATGACAGCAGTTCTTAATCATTTTTACGTTGCTCACTCTGGTTTTGCCATGTTATAAAAAATATGCAGACACACCCATCATTTGTTGAATACCATGATTTGCTTGAAGAGTTGGAAGGAAAGTTTTCAAGCTTTCTTGTAGCCGGAGCTACTCGAGAATCTTGAAGGATGTTTGAAATCCAAGGTTTAGCTACTCCTCTCATTAATATATTCGTGATTCTGAAAGTTTTGGCTCTCCATCTGGGGCAGACGGGAGATTTTAGAGTTCTATTCGCATCATGAGCTGCATGTGGCATGAGCAACGTGATTATAGTCCTACACAAATTATTGCAAGCATTCTGTGTTTATAAACACCACACCATGTTTGCTGCCTATTTTAATTTTTTCACTTATAGAATGTGTTATTTTCTTTGCTAAATTGAGAGGAAGAGAGATGAACGGTTGTTGTAGGATTTAGTTATAAAGAATTTGTTTGAACAATGCATAGATGGTTAAATTTTGCTGCTGAAATACAATTGTTGAAAATAATATTTTTCTAAATTTGTTCAGATTGTAATCATACCATGAATTATATGCTACAAATTCATGATTCTATTTCTAACGGATATGGCTGTCGATTGTGAATTTAGCATCATCTGTGATATCCTGTCGCCCTTCTTCCTTTGCAGAGCTCCAGTAGTCCCTTCCCACATTTCCTCGCAAGCTCTCTCTGAAAATCTCGAAAGATTAAAAAAATTCATTGGATGAAAAATTAACTCTATTTTATGCATACAAAGCGCGAGGGAGTTGCAGGTGTTTCTGTGATTTGTCTCAGCTATCCTAATATTAATGTATGACTCTTCAGAAGGTTGAATGCTCACACTAGCCTATCATAAAGTTAAACAATTCAACCAACATGTTTGCAAACAAAAACGAGAAGAAGTCTATCATAAAGTTGTAGCAACCATGACATATATTACAACAAACCTAATACGAATCATGTAAAACGATCGAACAATTTTGATAAGATTATCCATACATCTTACAGCCTACAGCAACCAAGTTCAACTACAGCCTGCAGCTTACATATACATCCATAAAGCAACTTCAAATAAACCGTTCAACTTGAACCCTTCCCTTTCCCATCGCACTTTAGTGTGCCTTTTCCCTTGCTAAAACTCAAGTGCATTGATATGTCCAAGGCTCGTTTCTCGCTAATTCGAGCTAGACTGTCAAAGAGTCTTGGCAACTCTTCATCTTCAACATTGGACTCATGATTCACCGCTTCATTAATGGAACTTGACTCCCCGCTTGGAAGATCTTCGTTCACCCAGTCAAAATATCCACAATCGTTACTACAAGTGAAGAACAATCGGCCTTTGTTATGAGTATCCCGTTCGACCTCAAAACACTTTCGATATCCGTGTTTACATGAAGGACATCGGCACTTTGTTTGGCATTCTCCAAAGTAGTGAGTATTGCTTCTACAACTATGACATACTCCTAAATTCTTCCTCTCATTGTAGTCAATCTAGGCTGCAAAAACAAGTAAAGAAAGATGAATTCATCTCAATTACAAAATCCCACATCAACTAATAAACTGTATTCAATCTCAATTGCTAACATTAACACAATATCAATGTAAAAATTAAGCACTATAGGGAGGAGTAACGAGAAAGCTTAGGAAAGATATTCGAAAGGAAAGCATCGAGTTAATATTACCATATTTCCATATTTATCATCCCTCATCAGTCTTCACTCTAGCTATCCAAGAACTCGCTCTTTCTTGTATTCTCCTTTTTCCTTTTTTTACTAGATTCATTTCAACATTTGATGAAACACTTAATGCCGCGTTCCCATTACACATAAATAAACTACCGACAAAATCTCATATGCAAGGCATTACCACAAGATTCACATCAATAATAGAAGGGGGAAAGAAATACAGTTTAGGCATTACCAGCCACATGAGCTTACGAGCATTTTCATAATACGAAACTTTCAGAACCAAAACGAAGGCGTACTAAAAAAATTTATGTCGAAATCCATGTAGCATTTTCATAATTGAAACTTTCAGAACCAAAACGAAGGCGTACTAAAATTTTTTATGTCGAAATCCATGTACAATACCAGAAACAAAACTTCTTAGCGTGGCAATGGCGGGGGGCGACTGCGGCTTAGAAGATTCTCGCTGAATGCGGCGTCGATTTTCCTGTTTGCTGCCAGACTACGCTTCACGTAGCGATAGGAAAAGTGTTCTAGGTGAATAGAGAGGAAATTTCGTGGGTGATTTGGAAGAAATGAGGAAGAAATTTCCTTGGATGATTTGAGGGAAATGGAAGAGACGCCGGATTTGGGGGAAATGGGAAAACGCTTCAAACCATCTGGATAATGTTATTGCGGGTTTTGTTGCTCGGTTTTGTTTTTCTTTTTTCTTTTTTTTTTTCATTTCAAATATTGATGACGTCATTCCATTTTCGAAATTATGTACGCATTCTGTGATAACTTGCCTGTACTTGTATCATTTTTGCTACAACTTACTCTCTCATCAATAGTAAAGCCAGTGATTCTGTATCTGAAAAATCGAAGCCATTAAATCCCCTAATAAAGTGGGTTGGTTGGACTACTTAGTTTTACATTGCCTTCTTCAAAAGCACCAGCTTGAAGTCATGGACGCACCTTGAGTTGGCGAATAGTGTGACTTGTCCGATAAATTGGGTCACATAGATTTCCCGTGCTCTTCTTTTTCGTGGAAGCTGCTCTTCCAGCCTTGTCTATCTTTAAGGTTTGAGATTCCTATTTCATTCTGGAGTTGCTATTTCTAGGCATCAATATACCCATGGACAAGTTCTTATGGAAGTGTTAGTCCATTTTGAATGTTGAATACGGCATCTTGTACCGTGTAGGATGTATAATGAATAAGACTTCGGTTTCAAATCTTTCAAGACAATGTTTATTAGAAACCTAGAATGACTTGAGTCTTCTTTATATGCTGTCAATATTAATGTTATCTGGAAAGTTAGAGCCAGAAATAAAGATCTTCAACTTCTCATCCTTGATGCATGATGATCCCACTTGATGGAAACCATTAGTTTTCCACTAAAAGTCTCCTTTTTAAAGGATAAATTTGTCAAATTTTGGGGATTCAGATCTCAAAAAGAACAATCATTGGAGACTGCACCATATTTGTCAAAGGTTGGAGACAGCAGCCATAATTTCCCTCTTTCCTTAGTCCTTATGTAATCTATTGAGTATGATCCTCTTAAAAGTGGATTCATTTTTTAGCCATGTATGCATATTATTATTATTATTATTATTATTTTTTCAAGCATCAAAGCATATATTCTGCAAAATTTCTCCTTGTAAATGGTTTCTGCTGATTAGTTCTAGTTTCTTCTGCTTTGCAACAACAGGAACTGTGACGATGGTATTGAAAATACTTTCTATACAAGAGTGTCAGTTCAGTTCACCATAAAAAGAAAATTAGATGCTGCAGTGTGTGTGACAGAAAATCTCTAGCTCGATTTCATAGGCGTGTGAAGCCACTTCAAGGTGAACTGCTAGTCAACTCACTTGTTTATCATTATTTTGGCAATTGAGACTCGCTAATAAAATCTACAGAATAGAAAAGTGTTGAAAATTTGTTAGCCCCTGTTGTGTAGACATCCTGGCCCTTTTGTCTTCCATTTCTTTATTTTCTACAATTATTCAGCAAACACAACTGTTTTGTACATGTTCTCAAACCCTAACATTACTGTGTTATTTCAAGAAAATTAATCAGCAGTTTTGAGTCCCAGGAGCGGACCAGACTTTTACAACTGTGGGATCAAAAATTAAAATATAATTTTTTTAAAAAAATAATATTAATGAAAATAAGTTAATATGTATTTTGATACTTTAAAAATGTTGTATAATTATATCTTTATCAATATTATTAAATAGATTTTGCTACTTGCATAGCTTGATTTAGAGGGTGTTTGACACGTATTTTTAAGGAAAAATGAATTTTAGAATAGTAGATTGAAGGATAATGTGTGGATGAAAAGTTTTAAATTTGCGTGTAATATAATTTTAATGAAAAATGTGTGGTTGAAAAGAAAAGAGAGAAAAATACATTTTGAGAAAAATGGGAACCAAACGGGGTTTTGCCAGTTCGTTGATGAATGTTGAGCCGACAGTGAGTAAATCAAATTGAATGTGGAACGTAAATGAATTGAAATAAAATCCAAGTTTAATTAAGAAAGTAAATGAAAAATTTAAAGCAAATGCAATTCGAAAGTAATTTAAATTACATTTAATCCGTAAAGATCCTGAAATTTTTGATATCATATTCCATATAAAATTTTCTAATAAAATGATATAAATTATATTGAAAAATTTATCTTGCAAAAATAACAAACGTTAATGAAATAATTGAATTTTTTAAAAGAAAATAAGAGTTAGACGTCATTTTTGAGATGTACATTTAACGCATATTTAACTATTTTCAATATTCGTTTGGACCATTCAGTATGAAAACGATGAAATTTTTGAAATGAGTTTTTAGATGACATAGACTATTTGTGGATTCGGATAGTATACGATTGTTGAGGAATTTTGAAAGTTAGCATGTTATTGAAATTCTCGAAATACTAATTTCAAATGGTCTATTTTGACGTGTCGTAACTTTTACTATGATTGACCATTTCGAACGCCTTTAGTGAGCGAAAAATCAGGCCATAAACACTTTGAAGTGGTATTAAGAATGCAATATTTTGACATTCTGTGATGAGTGCATCAAGATAGATTGTAAAGGGATCAACTATTTTTTGAAAAAAAAAATAATAAAAAAGAAGGTCAAAGGCCAAAAAATTGTTAGGTCATTTGACCCCATGTGGGTCCGCCCATAGTTTTGACGTAAAACAAGGAGATTTCCTTCTCGGTGTTTCTCCGGATGTTAGAATTTCTGAGTATAATATATCATATAAAGGACATTGACAACACCCTGTCAACCTTAGGTTAGTTCAAGATGGACAAGGGCTTCATTTTGTGTTCTTCAAATCACCCTTTTCTTCGTCTCCTATCTTATCCCACCAGATTTTTGTCCCAGAATAGTTAGGGTGCGTTTGATTGTACACATTTTCCATGGAAAATGAGTTTTTTCCACATAATTTCCTACTTTTGTCTTGTTTGATTGATTATTTATTCCAAGGAAAATATTTTCCTTGTTTTGGTCACGTGACCACATTTTCCTTGAAAACAAGGAAAATATTTTCCTTGGGGGAAAGTGAATTTTATTTTCCATGGAATTTAATCCTTCCAAAAAATCTAGTTGGTAACCAACCACGTAAATATCTCTCTCTCTCATCTCTACCCACCCACACGTACAAATCGCTACCTACCCACCCATACGTACAAATCGCTACCTCTCTCTCTCACATCGATTCTCAGCCAGCAAGCCGTCTCTCGTCCATTCAACCGAGCCAACCAGCGTCTCTCACATTCATTCAACCGAAACACGAAGAAGAAATCGACCGACCAGGAAGGCGTCTCTCAACGATTCAACCGACCGTGTTTGAAGAAATCGACGAGATGGTAACTGCATAGATTCAGGTTACTCTCACAATATTTGATTTCTATATGTGTAATTCTTAATTAAACTGAGTACAAAGCGAACACGGATTTTTTGGAATTTGTTTTTGTTTTTTGATTTTGAGATTCCACATGATTGTATGCGAACTCGGATTCCAGAATTTTTCTCTTCTTTAATGACCCCCAATTCTGTTTCTGTGATGGGCTTTGCAAGGTGGAGGTGGAGGTGGAGGTGGAGCTGGAAAGAAATTGGGTTCGGGTTCTATAAGGTGGAGGTGGAGGTGGAATCTTGCAATTTTGTTGGCATATGTATCATTTAAGATTTCCCAGAGTTATGAAATCTTTGTCTTTATCTATACTTGCATTGGAAGACCTTGAATGAATTATGCTTTCAATGGTTGAGTTTCTTGATTAATTTAAATGTAGTATGAATGATGGGGGCTGTGGAAGTGGAGGCAGTTTGGGAATATCAAAAGAAGACATCCCTGGTATGAAGTTATGAGGAAGGAAATTCACATGATTGTTAACACTAAATAAGCTTTGATGAGGATTTACCTATCAAATAACCAACGCATTGCAAAATGGTAGATCAAATCAAAGGATAGATCCCTATTAACTCATTGATCGCATTGGGTCTGCTGGGTTTGTATGGTAGGTTGCTGCTTACTCATTAAGAAAGTAGCACAATTTAGAAAACTTAGTTTATGCTGATTAAGTTGTTAAACATGTAGGTTTAGGATACGGGAAGCGAAGATGAACCATTATTAAATAGTGATGCAGAAAGTGATGATAGTGAGTTATAAGAATATATAGTTAATTCTATTGGAGATATATCATTTTTGGTGGTTTTTACTATATCATTTTTGCTTTTTTAATATATGATTTTTGCTGGTTTTTACTGTATTACATTCAAAGAGTAATTGGAATCCAGTGGTATTTATATCGATGGTTTTGAGGGTAACATCAATTGAATAGTTCCTCACACATGTTAGTAGAATCTCAGAAATTGGTTGAGTCACTAATTTGTTCTTTAGTCTAGTAATGCTGGAATTTGTTCTTTAGTCTAGTAAAACATGTCTGTTGCACAACGATTAGATAAGATTTACATCAGTAGGACAAAAGTATAAACTAGTTATGGAATTTTATTTATTCCAATCTATCTCTATGAAAAATTTTCCTTTCTATATCGTATCTACAAGTGACATTGTGATTAATTAGTTTCAGAATGTGTTAATCGTTTATTTGAAATACCAGAAAGTTTTTTATTTTTATTTTTGACTGTAATATGTTTAACTGATTTCTGATCTTGCATTAATATGATTGTATTACAAAACCATGTGTTTCTAAATAGTTATAACACTTTGAACAAGGCTCGACATGATTAATTCCGATGGAGATCGACCAAGTAATTGATGTTTAAATGTTGCTATTTAAGTTCTTTATTTTTTGAATAACTTATCATATTTGTATCTTGAGCACTCGTCATTGAGATTGAAATCTCAAATTTCAATGACAGTGGGAATGGTTTGATTTACAATAATTTGGTTTACTGTCCAGGAAGTAAAAACAAATTCAAGAAACTAAACCCAGCTGGCGTTTTGATTGGCTTGGGTGCGTGTATTTATGGATCTATTACCAATATAATGCACAATAAATTAACCGTTGTCCATTGTGCATATTTTCCTGTAGCTACAGTTAACTTTTTATTCTGTAATGATGTTATGTTATTCTTTATAAACAAATTTTTATTGGATTTTTGTTTACGGTGGTAGTTTATAACATGGCTTCAACAACGAATCAACGTCGATGCCGATGACAACATTTATGTTTATTTTGGACAATGGTCATACAAGCGATTGTGATATATAACGAACTTAGGCGTCGTGCACGACATCTTCCAAGAGCTCCTCATAGAAATTGGAATTCTAAAAGAGAAATAACACTTACACGAATGTTTGGCACGAGTGATACAATATGTCGTGATCTCCTTAGGATGAAAATAGGTCCATTTCAAAGATTATGTGCTCGTTTGCGAACTTATGGATTGGTTGACAGTAAATACGTTCGAATTGAGGAACAAGTCGAAATTTTTCTGAATACAGTCAGGCATGACCAACGTAATCGAGCTGGATGTTTTACTTTCTTTCGCTCAGGTCAAACAATGAGTTTTTACTTTCACAGAGTCTTACACGCCTGTCTTGGACTGTATAGAGATGTTGTGATTAATGTCACTCCTCATAACTCACCATACAAAAAAAAATGTGCAGCCATGGTACTCCTTTTTTCAGTTAGTGGTTTGTAGATATTTCATCATATTTTTTAAAACTTCAATATTCACATTTATTTTGAAAAGTATTGTTTTTTAAAGGATGCCGTAGGAGCAATCGATGATACACATATAGCTGCGTATGTGCCTTTAGAGGAGCAAGGTAAATATTGCAATAGAAAGCAAGTGATTTCCCAAAATATTTTAATAGCTTGCACATTTGATATGAAATTTACGTTCGTGCTTGTTGGTTGGGAGGGATCTGCACATGATGGTCGATTGTTACGGAGTGCAATATTACGCCAAGGACATAAGCTAACAATTCCTGTTGGTAAGTTGTGTCACTATTTTGAAAACATTTCTTCCACACATAAGTTATAATAATTACCTAACTACCATCATATGAACAACTCTTTCCTAGGTAAATATTACCTTGTTGACGCTGGCTTCCCATCGGTTTCGGGTTTTCTTGCACCATACCATAGGACTCGTTATCATTGTAGAGATACCGAAGGTCAACGTCCTGAAAATAGTAAGGAGTTGTTCAATTTTCGACATTCATCTCTACGTAATGTTATTGAGCGTACAATTGGGTTGCTAAAAAAAAGATTTGCATATTTGAGATATCAACCCTATCACGACATTGACACACAAGCAAAGATAGTCCTTGCCTGTTCTGCCATCCACAACTTCTTAAGGATTGATGACGTTGAAAATGTTTGTGAGGAGGACGACTTAGATAGTAGTGATGATGAGGTTAACCCTACGCATGTTGATGTACCCGAAGATGAAACTCCAAATGCTCATATATCTTTCACAAATCAGGAAGTGTGGTCTAATAAGAGGAATGCGATTGCTGATTTAATGTGGGCTGATTATCTTCCCAATCAGAATGCGGGAATTGATTTCGATTGAAATCTTGTTTTTTTTTCTATGTAATGGATATAAACTTACTAGACTTTCATATGTAGTAATTGCTTGAATTGAAGACGTATTGGCATTAAGCATATTTTTTGTTTTTTTTCCCATGTCCTGTAATAGTTGACATAAGATTGCTAGAATTTTAAATATTGTAATTGAAATTGTTGTTATTGGAGACATTGTTGACATGCAATTTTCTTAAATGTTCTTATTTATTGGTTGACCGTAAACAATTAATCTTGCACTATACAATTCATGGCAAATACTCGACAAAGCTCTGCGGCACCTTTTCTAGTTCCTAGACCAACCCTTCATTCAGATGTGGAGGAAATAAGCTCAACCCAAGCGGATCCTAATTCTAGGAATCGTCAAATATGTTGGAGTGATGCAATGGACGGTTATATGATAACTGCACTACTACATCAAGTGTTGTCTAGTCACAAAAGAAGTGACAATGGCTTTTCATCATTTCATGTGTCCAAAGCAATCGAGAGAGTGCACAATGGATACAGAGTGATGGTGTCTGATAAGAATGTGAGGGCGCAATTGAAAACTCTGAAAAAAGAATATGTTGAAATTCGTCAGTTGTTAAGCATGAGTGGTTTTGGGTTAGATTCTCACACTGGACGTGTCATAGCCGATGTACTAGCTTGGGAGGAGTTGTTGAAGGTACAGAATTTCATTGACCAATATTACTAATATAATTTATTGTGCCCCCTAACTAGCGTAAAACATATTTCACTCTTTTTCTTGTAGGGCAAACCAGAATTTGGAAAGTGGAGGACCAAACTTTGTTCTCATTATGATGATTTGGAGGCTATTTTTGGAAATGATTCTGCTACAGGAGATCGTGCTGTAACCGGCAATGACATTTTATCCCCCGATCATGGTACGTACTAGATCAGACATAAAAATTTATATAATTCGTATTATATTAGAGATTCTAACAATTTCTTATTTTACTATTTTTTAGATGAAACTGTGCATGAAGTTGATGGTCAAAATGAGGATACAGATCCAAGCCCCATTTGCACTCCTAAGCGTAATGCCGAAGGAGGAACTAACAAAGTTCGCCGTCGACGTACCCAACCTAATGATGAGAGTCTCGTTGCCCTATCAAGCATTGCCGAATCATCCAAAAAAATTGCTATTGCTATGGAGAGTCAAGCAACATTAGATATGCTAAACCACACCAATTGACAGTTGGTTCTAGAAAAATTACAAGGCATGCGTATAGAAAAGCGTGACATAATGCAAGTAATGAAAATATTTCGATCGGATGAGAGTTTGGCTAGAGTATTTATGAGTTTGACTGATGAAGAATTCATGCGTGATTTAGTATTTGAGAATCTGGACCGTGATCCGCCTCCACTATTTTAAGATGACTTGGTTGGATAATTTAACAAACATGCGAAAGTATGACATCTATGTTGATTTTATTTGCTATTTTCTTATGATACAGATTTTTTTGGGTTTTTTCATTTTCGTTTTATGTAATACATTGGACGAAATTTCATCATTATTTATTGAATAGATTATCTGATTATTATTTATGACTGCAAAGACGAATATGTAAGTGGTAGAAATCTTAATTGTTAGGGATAATTATTTCATCTCGACCTTGTTTCTGCATCTTCCGTACTGATTCTTGGCATATTTTTATCCATAAATTAACTTTTAAATTAATTATGATTGATTAAGAATTGGCTGCATTTATGTCTAAAATTTGGATCACTCACATTGACAAATTTTCATGGGAAAAAACTACTATTTTCCATGGAAAAAGTGACAATTTTCATGGAAAATAGTGGTTGTCAAACAGACAAAGTTGGAAAAATGATTATTTTCATGGAAAATAATGGCTATCAAACACCAAAATTTGGAAAATTGCAACATTTTCTAGGTTGAAATTTAAGGCAATCAAACACGTGTAATTAACTTTTTCCATGTAAATAATTTCCAGGCAATTGAATTACCTGGAAAATATTTTCTTTCCATACAATTTTCCTACTTGCAATCAAATGCGCCCTTATAGATTAAACAAATAATTTGTATTATTTAGAACAATTAATAGTGCGAGGTAAGAAAAATGAAAACAAGAACAACATTCGATTCAATGTGATTCACCCTCAATGTGAGAGCTACTGCACTAAGTACTACTACTGAGTTGTATCATATTATATATAACACTTAAATTTTTTGCCTGGGGCTCGCATTCATCAAAGGTCCTACTACCCCTCCAACCCCATCAACCTTTCCACGAAGGTCAAATCGCGAGTGAGGGAAAAAAAATATGTACAGTAGCATCTGTGGTGGCCATGGGTGGATTTGACAGTGGGCTGCACCTACTATTGTCCAAGCCCAAATACACTAAAAATAAAAAAAATAAAAAAATAGCAAAAAAGTCAAAGTTATAGTTTACACCAATTCAAAAATTAGGTGTATAGTTTTAAAATTCAAAATACAAGTATATATATAATTAATTAAAAATATTTATTAAATAAATAGAATAAAATCATAGTTATACAATTAGACCCTGTCTGTCGTTGATTATTGAATGGATTAACAGCCAAAATGCAGTTGTTACATTTGAATATAGATCCCACATGTGAGTTTGCTAGTAAAAAAATAAGGCTGATAACAGGCAAAAAATCAATTTCTTGGCCTAAAAAATCAATCTCAGATATGCCCTTAATGGTCGCAGATCCATAATTATAGGTCATAATTTATTTATTTGTAATATATTATCAAATTAATTAGCCACTGATTATTTCAAGGTCACGAATAAAATTTTTTATAGATCACAATTTATTTCTCGGTCACATATTTTCAAATTTTTTAGTCTCAAATTATCAAATTTTAAGATCATTGTTTAACAGTTAGTCACATAAAACTAAATAGTTGATCACATACACCAAACACTCAACCCCCGATCCCGATCCATCGCCAATACTTGATCACAAATCAACCAAATAGTTGGCCACAAACATTCTTCATCCCAACTCGTTGTCGTCGTCAACTTTGCCAACAATAACACAACATCACCACCTCACCACTATATCACCACCACTCTGACCAGATCTGAATCTACCAACCCACCACGATCGCTACCACCAAACATACCAAAATACCCAACCCACAACCTCACCAACACTACCTCTATCACCATTGCCAACACCTCCGGCAGCTACAGAAAGATAGACAGAAAAATGGCCACCATTCCATCCCTTAATTACAAATAACCATCACTCACAGTTTCGAGCCCTGCTATAACGGCACCACAACCACAACCACCTCCAACAACAACAAAAACGACCAACACCATGCAATTGCCGCCTGCACCACACCACCGTACATAGATCCGTCCCCGGCACCATCACCAACAACAACAAAATGACCACCAACACAAAACCGCTACCTACACAACACCACCATACAACTGCAGCCTACACCACACCACACCACCACACACTGATTCGCTCCTGACACAAACCATAACCACCGCCAACAACAACCCACCACCAGCACCCAATCGCCACCTACAATCCTTCTTCTCTCAACCAACCTTCAATCGCACCTTCCCCATGGCGACTCCAGTTCTGCAGGCTGAGTTTTGAAGATTTATGGGAAACATGGTCAAGATATGCTTAACTGGAGGCTATGGTTTTGACGCACTTGATGTGGCAGCAAAGGCGCCTTTAACATATATGTGTCCACTGGTTAAGCTCCACCTTCCATTTCCCTCGGTCTAATTTGATCGTGTCTCTTTTTGGCTGAGCTCTACTTTCCATTCCTCTGAGTCTTCTTTGGTCATGTCTCTCTTTAGACTAGTTCACAGAGAGAGAGGGGGGAGCCGGCCCCGGGGGGGTAGGGAGAGAAAAGAGTAAATTTAACCAATGCTCACTGAACTTTAGACTTGATTACTACTTGCTCACTCATCTTTTACGGGTTACTGAATACTCACTCATCTTTCCATATAGTTACTCATCCACCACTCGTCTCTTCAAATAATTGGGCAACTTTTGCGGCAACTTTTCAACAACTTTCGACCACCAAAAATGTCAAATTTTGATACTGTTGGAAAGCCCATGACGTCCTCTTCAATTACCGCCCAAAATCTCCCTATAATTCCAAGGGATTCGATTGGAAAATTTTCTTAAAATTGCCTAAAAATTCTGAAAATCAGCCCAGATTTTCAGATTTTTTGGGCAACTTTTAAGATAATTTTTCGGCAACTTCCGACCATCAAAACTGCCTAATTTTGATACCGTTGGAAAACTCACAATGCCCTCTTCAATAACCACCCAAAATTTCTCCATAGCTCCAAAGAATTTGATTGGAATAACCCTACAAAGTCAGCATCCCGAAAAGGCAAAAATGCTGACAGAGTTCAGGATGCTGACTTTGTGGGTTTATTCCGATCGAATCCTTTGGAGCTATGGAGAAATTTTGGATCATAATTGAAGAGAACATTGTGGGCTTTCAAACGGTATCAAAATTTGGCAATTTTGATGGTCGGAAGTTGCCGAAAAACTATCTTAAAAGTCACCCAAAAAATCT